CCTGAAACTTTGTACACATGAAGGCCTCGACTAGACTAGCTTAAAAAGAAAATTTTAGAAGTTTTGGACAATCTCTCACCGAGATATGAATTTCTCAAAATATACAATATCTATGGAAAAGCGTCTATATTTTGAGAAACTCATATCTCGGTGAGAGATTATCCAAAACTTCTAAAATTTTTTTTGTAAGCTAGTCTAGTCGAGGCCTTCATGTGTGCAAAGTTTCAGGTCGAAATTCGAAAATATGATTTTGCTGGAAACCTGGGGTCCTGCAGGGAAAATCTCCTGAAAAATCGAATATCGTCCCCTAGGTAAGCCAAGGGCAGCTAATATTTTAACCTTGTTAGTTTCTCGGTGAGAGCTTTCATTTGACCCGAATATATCCCATTTTTCTCACGGACAGTACAAACACCTCCATTGTTAGTAGTACAAGAACGATTGTTGAGGTAAAAAAGGCTTTCAACAAGTACAATATTTTATTTATAAAGGATGTCGTTCAGTTACTAAAGTTTTATACGTATTTGTTAGTATTTCCCGTCAAGATTATCTATACATAGAATAAAAGATTCTTTGTCATGTAGAATTTTTCTGCAATCGACAGAGAAACATCAGCAAGATGTTGATGCACACTCAATAAATGAGTAATTAGTTGTTTTATTTTAAATTTACTCTTTTTTTTCAGACTGATTGTTGTCTATCACTAGATTATATTTATAACTTTCTTTGTCCTGAAAATATTTATTTAAAGATTCATATTCAATCATTAATAACTTCATATTTCTTTCTCAATTTGAGTTTCTTTATTGTTGCTGTACATTTCTATTTGCGAATCTTTCTTTAAACACTTAAGAATTTAAGATATTTTATCGATAGCAAGGTTTGAGAATGACTTGGAAACTTGAGTTTCCTTTGGACATAACAATACAAAAGAACCAAAATTATATTGGATTAGTCGCTTGTTTGTAGCAGTGAGTTTTTTTTTAATTATATTAATTCAGTTAAAGAAAAAGTCTCCCTCCAAATTGCGACCTTCATCTGCTATTTCGGAAGATTTCTTTATGAATATTCTATTCGATGTAAAGCACATACTTTCGAATTGCAATCAACAATAAAGACAAGATCCATGTTGATATCGTCGTAGATAACAGAGAGTTCTATGCGCCTCTAAAACTTTAGAGAATTGAAGCATCCTATGTATAACATAAGATAAACATGCAATTCACATTGAAAATATTAAAATCACATTATTTAAAGAATATAATTTATAGTTATCACAATGGTTTTTGTTTTGTTTTTATTTTCTTAATGTGTCTTTTTATTGAAATTTCATCGACCAAACTTTCCCATTTCTTTGACATACTACATTTAATTCAGCTGAAACTGTTTTCTACAAGTACTGGATACTATTTATGATGTCCAGTATTTTCTAAGTTTCGAAAATATTACGCTATTGATTTTCGACAAATTTTACAAAACAAAGTATGTTTTTCGGAGAGTACGCTCAGTATTTTGATATTTTATTCTGCATTCAAAAGAAATAAAAAGAAACCAAGAAATATCAGGCACCATAAACGGTATGTAGTGTTTATAAAAAAATATTTCAGAACTATCAGATGTTTTATGACTGAGATAGCGGATTGATATTTAACTCTTGCGATTCAAATATTTTCTAGAAGAAAGTATTTGAAAATTAGAACTGCATGGCAACTTTTGTTCCACTTCTCGAAATCTATCTACTATAAAAGTTTTAAGTATTTGTGATGAGCTATTCTTTAGAAAACTCTGAAAATGATAATATTCGATTCATCTTACTCATCTGGTTCATTTTTAGTAGATGTTAATAGACATTTTATTTCTTTGTAGGCCTCCAAACTTTTTTTATTCTTAATTGGTATAACAGTATGTACTACTGGTATTCTAATATTTAATACGATATCAAATATTATGACTTCATGGGCATACATTAAAACGATATCCAGCTCTACTTTTGTTTCTACTTCTTCTCTTTCATCAACAGAAAAAAACCTATCAAAAAATACCATTCGTAAATTTGTTGTATTTGCATCATCTATTTATTCTGAACTTCGATCATATATATTTTATACACCTATAACAGCAGCTGCATGGCAACGGATAGGCTATAATGTAATTGTTATTTTTGTTGGTGATTTTACTACTACTAATAATGATCGATCATTATTAAAACAACTTAATATAACTCGAAATTTATTAAAACGATTAGGTGTGTATGTAATC